TTCCGTGCTGGTGTTGATTCTCCCCTGTCCTTGAGCTACTGATGATCGTGTTCCTATAATCCTAGCTCTGCCTGCATTGGTACCTGTTCTTATCGGGTGTGGTGCTGCGCTGCTGACTTTCCAATAGCTTAGCAATTTTCTCGAGAGCCTGGGCAGAGGTTTTGCAGCCGGGCCATGTTACAGCCAGGACTTTTGTTGGAGGCAAGGCTACCAAGGGTCACAGTTAGCACACAGTCACAGCTGCTGCCAGCCTTGTCTGCTTCTTGTCCTTTCCCACCAGCTGGCACAGGTTGGTCCAGCCACTGGTATAGCCTCCGAGCAACCCATACGCAAAAACCAAGAAGGTGTGCAGAGATGGAGACACCCAACAAAAATGTTTTTTTTTGTGTAGATACGAAATATTCCCTCTGCATGGGCACCACCCTGAATCCCTCCCAAATGTAGCCAGGGTCCTGCCGCCTGCCCCTCCCTGGCCCTCCTCCGAGTTACAACGATGCACGCTGAGGAGCAAAATGTTGGTTTGCCCTAAATGACCTAACGAGCTGCCCTAGACACAGGTCATCTACTGTCTAGCCTGGTCTGTGGTGCAGGACCTCAGCTTGCGAGAGTCCAAACTTCTTTCTCGTTTTTATATACTACAGCATCCTGCCCCTCAAGATACAGAAAGCGCAGGTGCGACTCTTGGGGGTTTGGGCATAATTTCAAGGTCTTTAAGTCATTCACGTCCTTCTGAGAGGAGCCACAGACAAAGATATGACCCACAAAATGGGGTGCTGAGCCGTGGGATGGGCACAGGTTTTCTGAAAGGAAGAGCAAGTTTCTCTTTAGGAAAACCCTTCTAATGGCCCACAAACCGTGCTGCAGTACAACACACAAATGCACATATTTCCTCTTATAAAGCGAAATGACCGAGTCCTTCCCTTGGGCTTTTGTTAGCTGGCTCTTGCAACCTTCTGCATCCTGCAAGGGAGCGGGGACTTTCGTCAGTGCCCACTTCAGGAGCTGAAGGCAGAGTTTCTGACGGCGATCACACCCAGCCTTGTGGCTGGGAGGACGGGGACCATGAAAGCGAGGGGGGAGAGGATACATTGGACAAAACTGGGTTGATCCTCTCAGCTTCGTTAAACTCTTGGCTGAGGTCGTGTTATTCCTCCTCTCCCGTGTCCGGCGAGGGCGGCTGCGGAATAACCCCGTGAGCCGGCATTTCACCCGCCCTGCTGCCGCTTCTGCAGTCCCGTAACCGCGCCGCTTTCACACCCTGGGAAATCAGGCGGGCGAGTGGAAATGTTGCAGGGTTTTTTTTGTTCCTTTCCTTTTTGTGCAGCTCGTTTCTGCCGGGAGGGGGGAGCCGGTTGCCGGGGCGACCGGGGATGGAGGAATCCAGCCGGGGCTGGGCAGGGGCTGCGCGGGCAGACACAGGGATGTGAGGCAAATACAGAGAGGGGGCACCGGCAGCTAACAGCTGAACAGGTCGTTTCCCAGCAAATAATTTGCAATAAGCGACGCTGAACCTTTGGGACGCCCTCTGTTGCAAATGCTTACCTTCGAATTAAGCTGGACCTTGCCTGAAGTCTCCCGAAGGGATCTGGATGGCTGCTGTTCGCCTCTAAAGGGTCTTGCCCAGGGGCTGCAGAAAAGCTAGACCCGGATTTCCTCCCTCGTCCCCCAGTAATGCAGCTGTTTATTTTAGAAATCAACATTTCACGTTGGTTTTTTTCTTCCAGTCTCAACAAGTTCTATACAGAAGATATACTTGAGCCTCCCCCCCACCCCTTGGAAAATGTGAATTGATTTCTTTTAAGATAAAGCAGTTGGGGTGGGTTTCTTTCCTCCGGTGTTAATAATCTGTTTTCCTTGAATTGGATTTTAAAATGGCTTCCTTTGAAGCTTCGAGCTGGTAGGAATGAGCTTAACATAGGTATGGAGGATGTGTAAAGTCAGCTACTCCCTTTCACGCTCAAATGTCAATAGCCCTTCTAGTAAATAACTAATATGCGCTGTACGATACGCAGAATACTTGGAAATCAGAGTAGCGAGCACTCACGGTACCTGTATTTGCACCAGCTCTGCTGTAAGCGGGTTTTGCTGCGGCAGTGTTTTCAGGAGCACACCCACCGCAGCCATGGGAAGGACCGGCATTGCTTTGAATCATTACCTGAAGCGGTCAGTGGTCCACTGGAGTTGCTAATCTACCAGTTATTTTTAAACAAGTAATTATAGCTGTGGATGTGATTGTGCCGTTAACATGCCACAACACAACGTCCGCTTGGAATTAAAGCTACGTGTTGTTTGCGAAGCGTGGTCAGGCAAATAATTAAAGTGCTCCTGGCTTAGACCGGTAAAAACAGATTCTGCAGGGAGTGCAAGTGATCGGATTTATTTTTCTCAAAATCACTATAGAAGAGACAAACCCGAGAGTGCACCCCCTTTTCAGCATCCCCTTTTGCAGCTGGGATGCCTTCTCCCCGTAAGACGAACAAAAGAAAGGTGCGGATGCTTTGGCATATCAATCAGCCGAAACCGGGTTTTGTTCTGCAGGTTGCCTTAGAAGCGCGTAAAACCAGGACTAGAGCGAGCCCCGGGCAGGGCTGCCGATCCGCATCAACGGGGTTAGAAAGGCGGGGGGGGGGGGGGGCGCCGCCACGCGCGCAAACAGGGGGAAGGGTCCCCGGG